CGGGTTCACAGGGCCATGGCACAGCTGGATAAGCCGGTAGGGACGTGGCACGGTCAGAACGTGGCACAGCTGGATATATCGGGATATCAGCTGGGTTTCAGGCCTCGCTCCCCCACCGTTTGGGATCCAAATCCTAAACTCTTCCTCTGGGGCAGGGCCAGCGGGGCTGCCCAGAGGGAAAACACCTCTTTGGAAAGTGCCAGCAGCACCGAGTCTCTCTGTAAAGTCTCTCTGTGGAGTCAGGGATCACCCAGGGGAGGGGAAGGACACGAGGCTGGGAGGGTGTTTTTTATTCCGGGGGGAATTCGCTCTGCAGAGCATTGGATTCCCTTCCTCACCCACCGGCTCTGTCCTGGAGGAAACAGGATTAAATGTTTCATTTTGGGGAGTGAAGTTGTGCCAAAGGGAAGGAGATCCATGTGTTTGGAAACAGCCCCGGTTCCAATGGAAACCTCTGTCCCGGGCTGGGGCTGTTCATCCATCCCAGGACCAAGTCCTGGAAGCACAGCCCGGCCTGTGGCTGTTTTAAAGTGCATTTTAAAGTGTATTTTTAAAATGTTTTCCGCTGTAAAATGTTTCTGGCAGAAGTCAGAGCCCACATTCTGCCTGGTGGGAACATCCCAGGCACTGGGGAGAGACGGAGCAGCAGAGCCAGATGGGAATAACAGGGATCTTCCCAGCATGGCTTTGTGCCCTGAATTAAACCAGAAACATCGTTATTTCTGTTATGAAAATAAAACCAGGGCAAGCAGGGAACGTAAATAGATTTTACGAGAGTTTTTAAGGGGGGGGAGCTCAGCAAACGCAGATTTTTGACCCACTTCAGCTTATTTTTAAGGCGAAACATGGAAAATCTGGATGGAAACAGGCTTTTAAGTCTCTGCTCCGATTTAATGTCCCTGCATGTTACGGGACACTGAGGTGCAGAGGGGCCGGTTTTGTGCACGGCAGGGGCTGCTTTACTCTCCTCCAGCGCCTCGGAGGGAGCCGGGAACGCACGGGCAGCACCGGGGCCGCATTCTGCCCCTGGCGCCTTCTCCCGGTCCGGCTCCGTCCATCCCGGGAAAAGAAGAGAGGGGGGAAAAAAATAAGGAGCGGCGGAGGTAAAAGGGTGGCACCGTCCCTGGGTGGGCTCGAACCACCAACCTTTCGGTTAACAGCCGAACGCGCTAACCGATTGCGCCACAGAGACCGCGCTGCGAGCGCCGCCGCGCCCGCCGCACTCGGCGGGTGACGAGAGAGCGGGGCCGGGACACCGGGAACTGGGATAACGGGGATGGGGGAACCGGGAACGGGGATAATGGGGATGGGGAAACCGGGAATAGGGATAATGGGGCTGGGGAAACCGGGAATAGGGGTACCGAGGCTGGGGAAACTGGGAAACGGGGTACCGGGGCTGGAGAAATCGGGAATAGGGGTACTGGGGCTGGGATACCGAGGCTTCAGGCACCGGGATACTGAGATTGGGCGTACCGGGAATCGGGATACCCGCACCGGGAACCGGGGCACCGGGGCTGGGGGACCCGGGAAACGGGGAACTGGGGCTGGGGATAGCGGGAAGCAGGGCACCGGCACCGGGAACCGGGATACCGGGACTGCGGGCACCGGGAACGGGGATACCGGGAAAGGGGGCACCGAGCCCCTGGGACATCGGTGCGGGTACTGGCGCTGGGAACGGGCGCATTGGGCACAGGGACGCCGGCACCAGGCACCGGGATACCGGGAATAGGACACCGGGACACCGGCACCGGGCGGGGCCGCAGCCGTGGCCGAGGGGACGCGCGTGGGCGCTGCGTGACACCGGTACCACCGGTACCACCGGTACCACGGGTACCACCGGTGCCACCGGTACTGCCGCGGGGGCGGCAGCGCCCGCCCGCTCCTCTCCCTGCCCCTTTCCCCCTCTTTTAGTTCTTACCCGCTTTTCCCTTTTTTTTTTTTCTTTTATTCTCTCTCCTCCCCTTTTCCTGCCTTTCCCCCCTTTCCTCCGTCCTTTACTTTTACCCCCTTTTATCTTTCTTTTTCTCATATTCTTTTTTTTTTCTTCTTTCCCTTCCTTTTCCATTTTCCCTCTCTTTCTCTAATTCCCCTGTTTTTCTTCCATTCCTTCCCCCTCCGTTTTCATTTTTTCCTTCTCTTTCTCTAATTTCCCCCAATATTTTTTCCCTTCCTTTCCCCTTTCCTTTTCCCCCCACCTTTTCCATTTTTCCCTTTCTCTAATTTACCTTTATTTTTCTTCCCTTCTTTTTTCCCTCATTCCTTTCCTCTCCGTTTTCCATTTTCCCATTCTCTAATTCCCCTCTATTTTTCTTCCTTCCGTTTCCCCCCTTTTTTTCCTTCTCCTTTTCCATTCCCCCTTCCTTTCTCTAATTTTCCCTCTATATTTTTTCCTCTTTTTTTTTTTTCCGCCCCATTTTCCATTTCCCAAAATTCCCTCTATTTTTCTCCCCTTCCTTTTTCCCCCCTTTCCCTTTGCTTTCCCCTC